AAGGAATCATAAACTCTGTGATGACACCCCCCCAACTTTTTTTTTTTTTTTTTTTTACAGAAGCACTGAAACAGGAGAGAACAGGCCAACTGCAGAGTATATCAGTAGTAAAATATGTGAAGTCCCTACAGAAGATTGGGAACGGTAAAGTATTTGCTTTGCTGACTTGACAATACAAGTAACATGAAAGTAGCACGGGAGATCGTAATGGATAAATTTTAATATTATAAAAGCCTTAATCTGTCAGTCTGTCTGCCCATAACGCTTTACTCGCACTCTGACTGGCTGACTGAAACAGCCAATCAAAGCGCAAATAAGCATTCGGATAGGAGATGGCAACACAGAGTGCCGTCATGATTTCATAGACGTTAGGGCTGGAAGGGACCTTGGAAGATTATCGAGTCCAGCCCCCTGCCTGAAAGGCAGGAAGTCAGCTGGGGTCAAAGGATCCCAGCAAGATAAGCATCCAATTTGCTCTTGAAGGTGTTCAATGTAGGTGCTTGAACCACCTCCGATGGCAGGCTGTTCTAGACCTTGGGGGCTGGGACAGTAAAGAAATTCTTCCTTATGTCCAGCCTGAAACAGTCTTGCAGGCCTTTATAACCGTTTGACCTTGTCATCCCTTGGGGCGCTCTGGTGAACAAACGTTCCCCCAGGTACTGGTGGTCACCCCTGATAAATTTATAGGTGGCCATCAGATCACCCCTGAGCCTGCGCTTTTCCAAGCTAAAAAGAGCCCCATGGCGGGGACACGGGATGGAGCGGGGGGGAGAAGGGAAGCTGGCCTCACCCCCACCCTTGCTCCTTGGAGGTGACAGCGGCAGTGCTGGTGGGGAGCAGGGTCAGAACACTCCAGAAGGGGTGAGGCCAGCGCTGGTCTTGGCCCACCTCTCCCCCTTCCATCATTGCCACCTGCAGGGCCAACATGTGCTAACATGGCGGTGGGGGGGGGAGGAGCGGGTGCACTAGTAGGTAAGGAGTGGGCCCAGGCCCAATGCGGGGATGTCGAGAAGGAGCAAGCCCGAGCAGGGGGAGAAGCCATCCCACCT